AGAAAAATAAGTGGTTTCAAAAACATGTGAAAATAACTCTCATTTGTGCTCTTACCTCAGAGTCTATAAATGATAATAATTCTCTGTAGTTGGACTTGAAGCCAAAAAGGATGGAAAAGGAAGCCCTGTGAACTTTCATTGAAGTAGAAAGTGAAGTGATCTGCAGACAGTGAGGATCTGATGGACAGTTGAAGGATGTTGCAAATGTTCACTAAAAGCCTTGGGAGGAATAGTGTAGAAAAATAAAGATGATCAGGAATCAGTAATTTTTATTGGACACAGAGGGATGAAAAACTGATTCAAAAGGGAGAAAAGAGGAGACAGGTGCCCTAGGTGGGTCACTCAGAACCACCAACGCCAAGGTCCCACTTGAAACTTTGGCATGACATTGTGATTAACTTACAACGCCTGTTACTGGGCACTGCTGCGGGGAGAAAGCCTTTTCCCTTCAGACGACATTGTCCGGATGTACCAGGAGAGATAAGGGGCTGCACTGTAGGAATAGCTGCACCTCAGCCCCAGGAGGCTCCTTCAGAGACAGTGATGTGGCCGTCAGGCTGGGCCACTGACTGGGCTCCGGGTCCTCCTGCAACGTCAATGCTGAGTGAGACCAAGACAGAGCTACTTAGAACAAGACAGTGTTCCAGGCTGAACGATGTTCCTTCTGCAGAGGTACAATGTTACTTACTCACTGTGAAGAGCATTCCAAGCAGCAGGAGGGTCCATGAGAACAAGGCTATGCAGGGAGGAAGCGGAGAGCTGTTCTCTGGAAGCTCCCCCATGAAGAGCAGAAAGTAATGTGCCAGACTATGCGGAGTCCTTTCACCTGGGAAAATCTGAGAGCCAAGAGATCCCTGTTTAGGCAAGTTCTAGAGACTATTAGGAAGAGATGCTTCCTTGACCATGACTGATCTGGGTGTTGAGCCTGTTCAGAATGTGCACCTGGGTGATCTGTGACTTAAGGAGCTCCTAGGAGGGAAGCGGAACTTTCATTCGAGGGGTATTTCCAGCTTATGCAACATCGCCCCCTGGAGGCCAACAACAGAAACAAATTAAGTCTCAGGCTTTTCTGCCCCTTCTCCTTCCTGCTCTGATCTAGGCTTGAATTTCTTAGCACTTTAACCTGATTAAAAGTAGTATTTTCAGGAGTCTGGATCTTAAGGTTCCTTTAATATTATTGATTAAGTAGCATTACTTAATCCTTCAAAGTTAATCATCCTCATTTCATAAATGAGGAAACTGAAGAAAGGAGGAAGGATGTTATCTATCCAAGGCCACAGTAAGTGACAGCTTGGAATCTGTCCCATTAGTGTGATTCAAGAATCTGTGTTCTTGGCCACTGATAAGTCAGCAGCACAGCTTTTAGACTCGGCGTTGTCCTCACCTATT